TGCGGGCCCAAGCGGCGCTGCTGGCGGTGCTCCTTCCGCCGGTTGGACTCCGCTCTGGGGAATAACGTATTACGAGGCCTCGTTAAACGTAAGCAACGCATTTGGGGTGGAGGGGGAGTGGAGCTGCAGTTACCAGATAGTGAGACTCCATTAGCAGCTCCTGTGGGAAAACTTGCTCTTCCTGTGGCGTGTGAGAGAGGAGGGAAAGGAGTTCTTCCTGTCCTGCCCGACTCTTGTTGCCCCTTTGTCCAGTGGCACTGCCTAAGCAAGGTCCCAGGGAAGTCCTTAGTCCTTGCAGTTGCTGTGGGAACTGTGCCTTGTCACTTCTGCCTTGAGTGTGAACAACAGTGTCAGTGTTATCTTGAGAGATGTTGCAGCAGAATTTGGCGGGCAGGTGGTTAAAGCCGTGTGATAAGTAGCACAGCTTCATGGGAGACTTTTATGAAAGGGAAGCTTGGATGACAGTAAGTATCATCTCTGAGGGACGGGGTTATGGCTGAGACTTTAAAAATTCTGAAGGTAATGGGCAAGAGGAATGGAGAATGAATACTCATGAAATTCAGTAATATTAGAAGAGGGGCACTTGGTGGATTTACTAGATTAGTTTAGAACAGATGAAATACTTTATGTAGTGAATTTCAGGAATTTGTTGCAACGAGTGGTTATAGGTAGTATTTAACAGATTCCAAAAAAGTATTAGCCAAATTAAAATACATCAGGTTCATAAATGACATCCAAAAATTACTAGGCAAGAGCTTGCCTTGTAACAGCCCTAATGTAACAGCTTTGTCTGGAGAAGTATGAAGGAAGCAGACCACAGACAGTGTCAGGGTCATGTCATTTCTTTAAACAGCATTTCTTATTGCTGTTATCCAGACACAATGTGGCCTAGTGTCTAGAGGCACTGCGGACTCCAACCAGTAGGGTGTTTCTTATGCTCTTTATCTTCCTAGCTTTGCTTATTTTCTGTAGAGACGTGTGTAAAATGGCACTGTTTTTTAAGAAGAGCGTTGTAACAGCTGAGAGAGCTTGAAGAACTGAGGCTGGGAGGTGCGCTTTCTCTGTCAACCCCCAGTTCCCTGACCAAGCAGTGAGGGAAGGGGTTGTCTTAAAACTTGGCCTAGCCCTCAACATATGGCATGATCCTATCATCACAGAGGTGCTAATGTTCTTTTAAATTAGCTTGGGAAGGTTATATGCTGCAGATAAGCAACCTGGCAAACTCAAACTCACTCCAGAACCCTGCAAGACTGCTTTTCTGCCCCAGTTCTGAGATATTTTTGGCTGTAACGATTGCTTACTTTTTTTCCTGCTGTGGACTGAGAGACAGGAAGTGTTTTGAAAGCCATGCAGTGACATACACTTGCTTTAAGTAAGATAGTTTGCTATCTCAAAACTGGTCTCTATTGTATGTTATGAAAGACCATCCAAACTTTTTTCAACTATGGTTAAAATAAAGCAGTGGATTTATTTTAAATAGAAATGTGCGAACTAGGCAAGAGAGAAACACTATGAACTGTGAGCAAAATACAGAGAAAAACAGGGAGTTCTGGTATGATTCAAGCTTAACTGATGCTTGCTTATTTATTTTCAATCTGGGAGCAGAGATGCATTAGACTTGGTGCTCCCTTTACTTCTAAAGGAGCACAATGTGTGATGGTTTAGTCCCTTTCCAGTTTAATTGCATCTTGATAGAACAGGTTATGTTGAAATGGCTATTGAGTCTTGGGAACTGTATGTGTAGTGGATGTGAGCAGCAAAACAAAATGTGGGTTTCACTGGTTCTGTTGATTTTGAGGGCTTTGGGGAAGTCTTACTCACAACTGGAGGCAAGGCTATCTGCTGATACATCATCTGCAGTTTCTGGGACTGCAGTTTTGTCTGGTAGCTATTCCACTGGGGATTTCATTGCCGCTGTAGTACGTGTTAGTAGAACCTCTTGCGTTCAGTAAGAATGGTGTAGGGTGATGCCTGCTTTTAAAATGTAGCCAACTGCTTGGGAAGAAGAACAGAAAACACATGTGCGAAGTTATCAGCAGAAGCATCTTAGTCACAGAACCATATGAAATTTACAAATACTGTAGTGATTGTTTGCAAATACTATAATGATAGTTTCCAGCACTCATTGTATCACTGTTGTGATCTATTGCCATCTGCTATGAGGAAGTCTTAATGAGGAAATGGCATATAAAAAAAAAGGGGGGGGAGCAGGAGTTGTTGAGGAAGGCAGGCAGGGAGCTTGGAAGTTGACTGCCAGAATTCAATGTTTTCAGTTGTTTGGGTTATCCCACATCAGGAAATCTCCCCCCTGTTTTTATGACAGTGATTCTGCATGACCCAGTGTCCTGGGTAGCATGTACAGAGTAACAGTCCTTTATTGCAGTCTGGGAAAAAGGGAATGTGTGTAATATTTTAAAACGGCTGATACTGGTTCCTGGTTGCAGGCTTCATTGGCCCAAGGCATCCCTTCGTAACCACACTATTGCCTGCTGGAGAATTCTGCAGAACAGAAGGCAACGGGCAGGAAGCAAAGATGATCTCCTTCAAGCAACTGCCTCTTGAAGCAAAGGCTGCAGTGGCTGCAGGAGTGGTATTCTTCTCCATGATGCTATCACGGAGTTACCTGGCAGAACAACTCGAGCTCAGGATGCGGCGCTGGCTACTAAGGCTGCAGATGGCACTATTTGCTAATGCGCTTATGTTGATAGGATCTCTTCATGTTTGGAGGAGCACAGTCACCACGTTCTCCAGGTCTTCAGCTGTCAGCTCCTTCTGTTTCGTGCCGTGGAAAATAGCTGTCTTCATGTTTCTAGCTTTGGCTCATTCAAGCTTCTTTACATTGCTATTTCTCGTTGCGGAAGAGCCCTATTTCTTTTCTTTAGCTGCGTACACCTGCTTGGGGGCATATATCCTTCTTATCTTCTTCCTCTTCGCTCTAGGCTCTGTAGAGCAGGCTTACAAGCTCTTGACTGGGAGAGGCGCTAAGGCAGGTGCTGGCAACAAGAACAGCAGAACAGCGATGAAACCGGTTTTGGCAGTCATGCTGACTGTTGTGCTGACTGTTGTGGGGCTGTTAAATGCTTCCCGGCCTCCCACTGTGAATTCAGTGGAGATTCCTGTTCACAAGCTGCCCTCAACAATGAATAATCTGAAAGTTGTGTTGCTTTCAGATATCCATCTGGGACCTACAGTTGGGAAGACCAAGCTTGCTATGATCGTGAGAATGGTTAAGGCTTTGAAACCAGATATCACTGTGATTGTTGGGGACCTGACGGACTCTGAGGCAGAGATCATACGACCTGCTGTTGAGCCTCTTGGAGAACTTTACTCCCCTCTGGGGACTTACTTTGTCACAGGAAACCATGAGTACTACACATCAGATGTTAGCAACTGGTTTGAGCTGTTAAAATCATTTAACATTCGGCCACTCCATAATGAGAATGTGAAGATTGTTTCACCGAAGAGCACTGATGATTGGTTCTGCCTGGCTGGCGTTGACGATATTGAAGCAGATGTATTGCGCTACTCAGGACATGGCATGGATTTAAAAAAAGCTCTCAGAGATTGTAGCAGTGAGCATGCAATAGTGCTGCTAGCTCATCAGCCAGTTGCTGCAAAGTGGGCCCTTCAGGAGAGGCCAGACATAAATTTAATTCTCTCTGGCCATACTCATGGAGGACAGATGTTCCCACTAAATGCTGGGGCTTATTTTCTGAATCCCTTCTTTGTTGGCTTGTACAAAGTTGGGCAGAACACCTTTGTCTATGTCAGCCCCGGGACGATGTACTTTGGAATACCCATGAGGCTGGGCAGCAGAGCTGAAATAACGGAGATAATACTACGTTCTCCTTGAGAGGTTTTCCTTTTGGCAGACTTCTACTATACTTTTTGGTCAGTGTATTGGCTCTTCTGGTCTGAAAACAAATTTTTTTTCAGGGAAGCTGGAGATGTGTTAGGGTGGACTTCAGCAGGTTCTGTTAAGTTTGAGCAGAAAACACTAACTGTATCTTGAGGCTATGGAACAAATTGGGGGCATGTTAAAATACTGAAGAAATTAATTCTTTGAGTTCATTATTATTGAGGTTTTGCACTTAAAGATAACACTGATGTCATGGAGAAAACGTGTGTCCTGTGCGTGTTTAGTAACATCTATGTCTTGTGGCTACTTCATGTTCCACTGTTTATTATCCATCGGGCAGCTACCTTGCCAAATCTCAGACAGGTGAAGTTTCGATCTCTTGCAGTGAAATCACTCACGCATGTTTTGTGGAAGGGACTACAGAGTGTCCACTGAGTATGTGAACTCTAGAAGCCTTATGCTAGAAATGTTACAGGAAGGGACAGTTTTGGGTTTTTTATTGAGGCTGGATATCTTTATCCTGCTGTCTGTCTGCAGCGTGCACTAGGGCTTCCAGTCTGAGCTGATAACGAAGGGTGAAAGTAGCTGACTTTCTGCAGGCATTTTCCCCAAAATAACTTGGCATCTAGTAATTACTGAAAATAGCTCTAATAAAAGCAAATGAGAAAGAAATCTTGTGATTAACATCATTTCTGTTGCTGTCTGAGCATACAATACCTGCTGATGTAAAGCACAAAATCCAAAGTTGAAATAGTCTCTTTTCTCTTCATGCTGTTTTTTTGTTTATGCTTAATTTCTCTTCTGTGATTTTTCTCTTGCAAGAGTAAGGAGATGCTATTTGAAAACAATGCAGATAGGTTAATGCTTCAGTTTTGTTTAAGGTTTTAATATTTCAAGTAAATGGTGTCCTTTTTAAGAAGTCTAAACTCTGCAGCAGGTGACTTAATTGCATTTGTGCATCAATGTCTTGGTTGTCTGATAGGCACAGAGCAGAATAACTGCTACAGGATAATGAGGGATGAAGAATTTCTCTGTCTTTCCCAGAAGGACCACAGCACAAATTAGTATTGTTCAGGGATATTTGAGGTATTAGAAAATATTAATAAAAGCATTCTTGCTTCCATATCTTTATATTCCTCTAAGAAAGCCAGGATGTAAATTAATGTGTGTACATTGTCCAGACTGATGGAAGAGTTTAATTCTGTACATCTTCATCTCTCCTCCCCTTCCAGCTCAGAGTTGCCATATGAAACACCATGAACAATATGAGTCTGAGAATCCTAGCTCTGACTTTGAAGTTTCTGACTGTAGCCACAGGGTCTCCCTTGCTCTGCCTTTTTGCCCCACCAGTACCCAGGTTCCTCTCGGGCTGACCTGTGTAGCCTGGGATAAGAGAGATCAGTGCTTATGCAGGAGGCTGAGAATGGCAAGACCAGAACTGATGCAGTCTTTTCCTGCCTTCCTGTATGATAATGAACCAGACACGCTGCTTCTGTTTTATTCTTCAGCTCCTGTTCTCACTTTGCAGAAGATGTGCACACCTTCACACCCCACTCTCCCTGGCAGTTTCTAACTGCTAAGCTGGTTTTGTATCTCGTTTCTCTGTACAGCCATCTTGTGTTTTTACTCATAGAAATGTTGAGAAATCCTGTAAATGCGTCATGTGTGCTGGATGGTTGGTGGGACAGCTGGAGAAGTAAGTCCTTTTCTATTCTGAAAACTGAACACCTGACCAGCCAGACTCTCTACTTGCCAGACTAGATAATTTCTGTTTCCTAGCACCTATAATTTTGTAAAATTTTTTATGCTTATGCAGTAGTATCTGCTGAAGTATCCTGAAGTTTCCACGTGTGTTTAGCACTGCCTGCTACGTACATGGATCCTTCTGAGGTTCTTTTCTGTTGATGGTATAGTGTCAAATGGTCTTATGTAGAGAGAATCTTGATCACCTTGATATCCTCTGTTGACTTACCAGCATGCCTTCAGTTAAAAGCTCTATGCTGAGTTTAGTAGTGCAGAGCATTTCCCCATGGCCAGCGGTCCAGGAGGATGGATAGCTTTTCATTTGTTATGCTGAGGGGTATTACTGTGTTAAGAAGGCTAATTGTTAAGCAAGTTTTCTTGTTGGGAGGCTTTTGTGGCACTGATTTTAGATGATGGTAGTTTCCCAGTGAGTTGCTAGTATTATTTTTTTCTCATTCCCCGCCCTTTTTATTTCTGTCCAAATGTGTGCAAAAACCTAGCTGAAGTGGTCCTTCCATCCCAGGGATGCCTAGATGACTTCATCAATTTGCATGTGCCATGCTTCGAAGATCTTTGTGTATCCTTTTAGGAGTGGTCATATTATCATTTCATAAATTTGAGTTCTCCCAATGTAATTTAGGTTTTGTCCTTTTTTAAATCACTCCCTCTGAAAGCTTGTTTACATCATTAGTTACCACTTAAAGTGTTTTCTTTCTGTGCCAAAACACTTCAAAGCTTTTTTCAAATGGTACTTTTTAAAAAAAGTATAAATGGAAAGTATCCCAGATCAACTTTCTCTTTGATAGTAAGAGGAATTAACATTTTCTAAAATCTAAGACAGCGATCCCTACTTGTCCTTCAAGGCTTTTTCTAGACTTTTTCCAATTTGACTTGAATGTGTATGATTTAGACCTGTGTTCAGTATTCCAGATGAAAAAAAAATTGCTATGCTGCTTATTTTGTAATTTTTTGGTATTTTTTGTATTTTTTTGATGTATGTAATGTATTTGATCCAGAGAACTTAACTAAATATATGTATGTTTCTTCCTTTAAAAGGCCAGTTCACTGGGGAGGGAGGAAGCTAATTGCTGTCAGAATAATACCAGAATAGAATAGTATCATCACTTTGTCAAAATTATATTTATTACATTATATAGTCGGTATAGATTGAATTTGAAAATGTGTAAATTGTGGTATAATAAATGCTTTGAATGTTGGGATTTAATAAAACTTTATTTGCTTATCAAGAAAGATGGCTCTAATGACCTTTTATTTTGTACCAATGTTTATTGTAGCAGTATATACTGAATAATTTTAACACACTAATTCTGTTTACCAACAAAAAGCTACTGACAGTGAATCTGACTAGTTTTGGAAAAGTCTTATGCCCACACTGCTAAGTAAGACACGGTGGAAAGTGGGAAAGGTAAGGCCACTATTAAATTTACCTAATGCCCACTAGGGAGAAGAAGCACAGGCTGAAGAGAAAAGAACCACTGCAAGGGCAGAGGAGAGATACTAGGAGAGTTTTTTGGAAGGAGCAGAAGAACATGAGTAGTTTGTGGTTCTCAATTTTGATGTTTAAGCTTTGGGGTAGAGAAAGGGGTGTTTACCTTTGAATGGTCTAAGTAAGAGATGCTAGAAATCTTCACAAGTGGAGGGGTTCATTGAGGGTTTGTATCAACACTTGTTTGCTTTCCAAATAAGAAAAAGAAATGGTTTGGAAATTTGGAGAATAAGAGATTCTAGTCACTGTTAAATAGTGTTGTGTGCTGAAGCTATGAATCTTTCCTGTTTTGAGATATGTTATGTGGTATAAAATGTTGAAATAACATTAAGGTTGCCAAAATAACTTCTTTTTTGACTTAAGGACAAATTCTTTAGTTCTTCCCTTTTCCTTGAGAGTGTGTTATGAGCATGTTAAGATGAAACATTATACCGTTGCCTCTAAGGGTCTGAACTTTCAGCTGGGCATTAATATGAAGTATGAATGAACTGGCATCCTAAACAGTGTGCAGTTAGTTTTGTGTCTGTTGAATCTGCTTGCCAAACTAGCAGACCCACTACCCCGTCTCCGCGGGAGAAGCAGGGAATTCATTCCCTCTGTGTATGCAGAACTGTGAGTATCCAGTATTGACAGAGCCAGACAGAAATTCATGATGAGAATGTTTTTGTTTCCGTTGCAAGCTCTGGTCTGCAAGGAGTGGTTCAAGTCATGCACTGACAATGAGAGAATGCTGCATAATTGATCGTGAAGGGAAGTCTGTTTACAATGGGCAATGAATGAGGTGAATCAGTAAGTGCTCTGAAAGCTTCCTCCTGCTCCTCACCCCTATAATAATGCTGTATCAGGAAGTGTATGTGTAAGGAAGGTGATTTACAGCTATGGTCACAACTTAAACATGGCCTTTAAATGGTAACCGGTTCAATGATGATCACTTTCATAACTAATACCTTCTTTTTATTGTTTTAAGAAATTCTTGTTTCTCTGCCAGAGGTGTCTGTCCGCTGAGGGTGGAGCTTTGTAAACAGTTGATTCAATGTTCAGCATCTCTCAACAGTTACTTGCCATTAATGGCGTGAGTATCTTTTCCATAGGCCTCTGGACTTGTTAGTCTAAGCAAGGGGGTTAAAATCCTCTTTCAGAGGGAAACAGCAGCAGGTTATTTTGACACTCCTTTATTTCCAGGGATAATGGCCTTTTAATGTGCTTTTTTTCCTAATGCTTCTCTTTTTTCTTCTTTTTTAATATTGCAGAATTGTATTGTTGCACCTGAGTTCTGAGTTTCATTTAGTCATGATCATTTTGAAGCACTCTGTTCTGCATTAATGCTGCAACTTGTCACAGTACCCTAGAGTAAAAAATATGTGAAGAATGTGAAACATTTGCTTGGTGTTTGTTAGGGTGAATGGTTTCTTTAGGGAACGGATACACACAGTACAATTCCATCCTAGTGCAGTATGCTCAGGATTCAAGATGCAGGTTATAGATTAAAGATGAGCAAAATGTCACTTAGATTTGAATTGAAAGGAAAGTAAGAATATGGTAGATACCTGTGCATCCTCTGCAGTGGTAACTTATTTAAGGTTTAACAGCCTGGAGTTACTACAACACCACAATTTCCCAGGGAGGATCCCAACCTTTGAGTTACTTTTGTTCCAGAGCAGTTGGCTTGTGTTTCTCAGCTCTGTAAGGGTCTGGTTTTGTGAACTGCCACATCCATACTTTAGTCAAGATTTATTTCAACTTA